CGATGTCGTTCCGCCGGATGGATTGGCGAATGCTCGCCGTGGATACCACGTGACAACCAATCGAAGGATGAGGAAGCGGCACCGTACACGGGACTAGTTCGCCACGTCGATCACGAACGTGAACGGTGCGTCGATGGAAGTTCACCAGATGGTCTTCGCTTTGCAGCCACGACATGCAAGAATCAGGTCATAGGGGACCTGTTCCATACTACCCTCATCTAATGCAAGAATCAGGTGATCCTTGCCCTTGACCTGACCCAAGATGGTACAGCCTTTCCACTTCTTGCCCTTATCAAGGTCCTTATGCCAGAAAGTGGAAACTGGCATGGACCACGCTTCACATGCTCCCACTTCCCTACTCGGAGTATCGTAGTTCATGGTAGACTCCTGGCTCTTCTCAAAGAAGTGTCCGCGCAAAGGCTCGCGCATGGCACGATAGAATAGGTTGACTAATTGGTTCTCAGTGACCCCATGATCAGGAACGACAACCAACTCATCCATGACACCCTTGAGTGCCCTGGCACTCCTCCATTGGTCAGAATGAATGGTGTGCAGTTTGTCAGAGGCTCTAACGCCTCGTGTGACATTTGCAAACCTTTCGCGCAATAATTTGAAAAACTCACCGAGAGGAGTGATTGCAGAATAGGCAACCATAATGTTATCACACTTAGCAGCGACACAAAGCGACCTGGCGAAGCTTGCTGCTTCGTCCTTGAGAGCATGGAAGGCTATGAGGACATGCTCGTCAGGAGATATCTTTTGCAGGTGCACGTAGGAGTTCATATTTGCCTCCCAATTATCAAAAGTTTCCTCCTTCCCACTGTAGGAATCAGGGAACTTCACCTTAACAGGCTCTCTACGGGGACGAGCTTCCTCCTCTCTTGGGGCGGCTAGGTTTGCGCCTTCTATGGCGCCTGTGCAGTATCGCTCTATGCTCTCTAGCCTCGCCTGTACTTCTGAGCCCACGTGCATCATCGTTTCGCGTGCAAATTCTCTAATCCCCAATCGTATTGATCGCAGGGCTATGTCCTGACTCCTCCCGAATTGGTATTGCTCCTCCTGAGCCTGTGCCAGGCGTTCTATATTCCTCACCATCACCTCCATTTTCCTTGCAAATCCGCCTGTGCCGCCATCTGCACCCTTTGCTGTTTCACCTCCTCCAGTTCTTTCGCCGCCTTACTTGCCTCCTCCATCCACTTTTTCTTCTCCCTGGTCAGACACAACTTCCATTCTAACTTCTTTTCTTCTTCGATCGACTGGCTTTTTAAACCACTAGTACCTCCGCCAGTGTTGGGAAATTAGGGAAAAGTGGACGTTTTCCCATTTTCCCCAAAGAGTTCGGAGGCACCACAGGCTCGACATCAGTTGTATTTCCCATTACCAAAGAAAAGAAAAAAGAGAAGAAAAGAACGAAAGGAAGGACGTCGGGGAAGGCCATGAAGGAGATGTGATCACATAAGAACTCAAAGGAACGCATCTACCCAAAAACATAGGCAATTTCGTTTTTTGTACGTGTTTTGCTTTCTTTTTTTGGTGATCCGCGTTTAGTGCCCTGCCAACGAGAGGCAAGGCGCATTCCACGGGCAGCTGACACTTTGCAACGGGGGGCGCATTCTCACTCGTACTCCAGATTCTGTATCTAGCTGCTTTCACGTCCAAAGTGTTGTTGCTTTTTTGTTTTCTTTTTCTTTCTCTTTTTTCTATTTCTTTCTCTTTTTTCTGAGTGGCCAGGCTCTTGAGATGAAAAGCAACTCACCCCCCTCTCACATAGTCCTCCTGACCCAA